TTCTTAACCCCCATCCCCGCAATCACGCATTTTAACGCATATACCGTTGCCCCGCAATCACGCATTTTAACGCATATACCTTTGCCCCGCAATCACGCACTTTAACGCAATTTTTGTTTTTGGCGTGTTCTGCTCTTATAACGCGTAAAGTTTTGATAGTATGATAATAAATGGTTTGATTATAAATTTTGTAATTCCATTCTAATATCTTTCGCAAATAATAATATTTTTCCTCAGTTTAGTAAGTCCGAATCGTTCGATTTATTTGACGAAACTTGGAATGCGAGACAAATTAAGGTCTTTCTTTTCACGCTAAATAAGCTTACCACTTGATCCACTTGTTTTTGGTGATGTGGAAGTCACTCAATCTTGTGTGAGATGGGACCATTGATTCAGAATTTATCGAATTTGAGGAATGATTTTTTATGTAAGTGTTTGATAAAAACCTGTGCAGAAATCGACAGAAGGAACGTATAATAACAAAAGAATTTTTAAGTTTATACATACTCTGTCATACAACCGTATAGAAAAGAAGTTTGTTCATAGAAAATAGCTTTGTTCTAGTTTACATGTAATCTAATGTTACATGTAGTCTCTTGTTGTCTTATTTGTTGTCCTATTTAAATTCAAATTCGTAAAACCTGATTATTTTCCCACCTTACACATGTTACACAGCAATAAAAAAAATACACATACACAAATAAAAAGGAACAGAAAAAAGGAACGGCAATATCATGTTGAAAAAGAGGTTGATTTAGATTTGAATGTTTTCATTATCAAGTCAACGTTTCCGATATTGTAAAAAAAAAAGTGTCGCACTTACTCGATCGTGTGTCTTGATTTCTTAACATATACGTATACATGTATACATAAAACAAGATATTCGGGAAAATTTTAAAGTATACTGAATACTTGTGTGATATCGTTTTTAAAAAAGGCAGAACAAACAAGAAGTCTGTGAGCCAATGCTCACCAATAGTGCCTCACTCTGGTGTGAATTTAAACAAGTTCAGTTACAGGTAAATGCACGGAAAAAATATGAAGTTGTTATCGAATTCATATACAAAAAAATCCCACTATATGACATGTCTCAACAAAAATTGTGCTAAAATTTATAGAATCTGCGATGAGTAGTTGCTTTCAAAAATGCGATAAAAAAATGTTACATGTATATTTGGTACGGACAGACGCACGGTAATACAGGAAGTTGACATCGAATTTTAACAAAAATGAAACTACCATATGGCATGCCACAGTGACGAATGTGCTAAAATTTTAAGCATCTGTAATGAGTGATGCGTACTTGCTGAGAAAACTGCGACCAAAAACGTTGTTACGGACAGACACACAGCAAGAACGACGGAAAAACACACAAGGGTAAAACAATATACCCGGTCTCGTTCGCAGCGGGGGTATGGTTAAAAGACTCATGTCTACTGATTAGTTTTATCAGTGGGTATATAGTCCTTTATAGGAATATTTCCTTATAGGAATATATCTGCCTCGAGTACGTTCATATCGTCAGTATATTATTTAAAAATATTCATTTATCAGTCGCTTTCACATGTTTAAGAAAACATATATACTCTGCAGGTTCATGTATGTCAACACTGCATACTTAAAAAAATAATAAGTTTTGAAAATTTTAATTGGCGAAGTAAACTTTCAAGAAGAGGACGGCGATGTGATCTGATTGGATTCTTCAATCATCTATATGTTAATGTTATACACAGAAAATACAGGTTAACTCGTAACTGTTTTCAAAGGGTAGTGCAGCTGCTAAATACATGTACCATGAAGATACATTAATGAGGAGCAATGCATTTGGACGCTTAAAACATTCTTTCGGGGGGGGGGGGGGGGGGGTATACATCTTTGACCAACACCGATCTAAATAATCTCCGCATTTCATCTCCGGAATTGTATTACTACATTTCCGGCATTTTTTTTCTTTGATCAACAGCTAGCTTGTTAAATAAAGGGACTGATTATAAAACAAATTTAGCATATCATTTAAGCACAGGAATGCTTAGCATTTCGTACATTTTTTTTTTTGGGGGGGGGGGGGGGGTATGGATCTTGTTCTCCAAGTTTATCAAAAATCGATAAATGAAAAAAAAATCAGCTACACTTGAACTATATTATGTCAGTGAAGTCCGACAAACATGAAACTGATTTCAATTTAACATCCATGTTTTTTTAAAGAAAATAAAGCTTTTGATGTCAATGATTTGTCGGTATTGTTCAAAGATAATAATTTCAATTTTCAATTAAGAAAGTCTTCTGTCACAGTTTTATTTTCTTAAATTAATTTACTCTTCAATAAATATCGGAAAATAAAACTATAAATTGTCAGTAAACTATGTCGGAAATTAAAAGTAGAATATGAATAATCGGAAAAAAGAATGCAGTCAAAATATTGAGATAATCTGTTTATTCTCCTGTCTGATCTTTATGAACTTTTATTTCGGTCAGAATTGTATATCTTTTACAAACACAATCAATAATTTTTTTTCCTGTCGTTAACTTGTATATTTAATACTATAGTAATATCATGGGCTATCGCAAATGTATATAGTGAAAAATTTGTATATCCACTACGCATTTACTCCTGATAGATCCTGAGTAATTGATTAATTTTATTGTTTATCATGCTATTGATTAGACTTTTTCAGCAAGTTTAAATAAATTGATATAAATACGTCATATTCTCAATTAAAGTGGACAGTATTTCGTGCACATCGACCCTGCATGTTCATCAAGTTCATCGTGTCAACGAAATCTGATGGCAACCCTTGGAAAATAGAGGAAACACTTTCTATATTTCTCAATAAATACAGCTACAATTACTGCATTTTCAAAGAAACATTTTTAAGAGTACTGTCTCATTTGCTCCACAAATAACCGGAATACTTATAGGAAAACATCGGGAAAATGTCGAGTACTGAACGCTCCGTCCGAGGAGTTCTTGGACTCGTTTGTAAACTATTCTATTGTTTTTAAAAATGTGTAAAAATTTCATTACAAAGAAAAACTTCTTTTCGATGTTTTTTCTTTTCTTTTTTATTTATTTATTGCAAATTCGCCTACAGCCCCATCACTCCCAAGTTTTTCTTCATTGTTAAACGTGCTGATTTTTTAGTACCCCACATGTACTTGTAGGAGTAAAGATTCTGCAGTCTTCGCTATAGCCAAGGGGTTCCGATATGCTTCACATCTCCACCATGCACTAGAGTAGATTTTGGATCGCAAACCCTTGGCTAGCAAAGTTTAGATATATATTGCTAATTTAGAACTGATTATTTTAATGCCGAGTCCCATGGCAGTATTTCATCCGTATATCAGCCAAAATATTAATAACAAGATGTGATCAGTTAAATTTTATTACATGTATTATAAAAATTAAAATGTTTTCCATCTACAATGGGCTATATATTGTATTGTTCAATAGAAATTAAGCGATATTCTAATATTCCAACAATATTTATTGATTAAAAAAACCTCTCGAACAAATAAATCAAGTTAAATGTGCTGCAAGCTACAAATCCTTTTTGTCCTGAAAAAATATATTAAAAACGTGTTATAAAATTTTTCTTAAGTGATAATCCTTCTCTACTAGACCTCATTTCTATTTTTATTTATAATTGAAAAGTTCTGCAAGTTTCGATAAAATTGTAATGCATGTGACTGAAGAAATAAAAAAGGGGGATGTCTCGCTGTCTGTAATTTTAACAGGGGCATAAAAAGACACCCTGAATGGAACTCAAACAATCATTTTGAACGAAGTTTTCGTTTTAGATTTAAAATTCATAATAAATTACCTGTAAACTATGATAGTATATCAAGTCTGTAAAAGAATTATTTAAACAAAATAAACAGGATTAAATCATCATCAAAATACTAGAATTTATTTTACCGATGATTGTATAAATATAAGGGCGATATATACGGCAACAGTTGCTAATTATACACCGTGTAAATGCATCCTCAAAACCATGTCTTTTCAGCACGTAATCGCAAGTGCGCTGCGGGGAAAAGGATAACGTCATCAAAAGTTAACAAATGTAATGCAACTATTACGTCACAGACGACGCAAGGGGCAAAGAGTTAATGACAAGTCGTAAAGACATGTGGACAATGCATGAGATCTTTCGACCTTTCACCTTGAAGATTAGGTCATGGTCAAAGGTCAAGGTCATTGGGAAAGTATCAAAATTGCTTATATATGTTTTTTTGGTGGGGGGGGCTCAAATGACCTTGACCTTTGACCTTGACCCTACCTCAAATTTATTATGATTTTATTTAGATTTAATATATTAATCGAATGAATCTGGAAAATAGCGAATTTTCCAATCAAATAAATTTCCATCCTCTCAGTGACACAGTTTGTTTCATGAAATGCATCTTTCAAGTTTGATTTACGCTGATAATTATTAATTCAATCCAAATAGAGATGTTTATTTAATCTTACCTATGAGTTCACCATATGTGTCAAAACGAACGCGCCTATATTTTCAAAAATTGTAAACACAGTGCCGACACGGAAGTTCGAATGTATAATAAGCTCTGTATCATTGCGCAGGGGGGGGGGGGGGGGCGTAACTCAATTTATTCAAAGTATAAACAAACTCAAATGAATTTTTTTTTACAAGAAATCGGCATTTTCATTATACACCAATCGTGTTTCTCAGATCTATGCATTATTCTTCACTACATTGTACCACAAACAAATAAATACACGTGTTTCTGTAGCGTAGATCTGAGGGTCCCGAGTTCGAATCCTGCTGCGAGCATTTTTTTGTTTTGCATTTTTTTCCCCCAAATGACTCGGAAACACTTAAAAAGTTGGAAAGATCTTTTATTGTTCTGTGAACAATAAGTCTCCTAGTTTTTTTCCTGAAATTTTTACTCCTTGAAATCAAGCACTACAATATAAAAAATCATTTTACAGTCTAATGAAAGGTTTCAGTTCTAAAAGGAATATATCATAATAATTGTAGGAGAACCCGGAATTCCTGGAAGAGATGGACTGCCAGGACAGCCAGGACTGCCAGGACTACGAGGACCAATCGGAGTTGTTGGTTTACCTGGAGAACCCGGACCTACAGGACCCGAGGGGGCAAGAGGACCCCCAGGAGAGGAAGGCCGACCAGGAATACCAGGTACGGGACGATTAGTCAATTCAGAGAAATAATTAGTTTATATTCCTTATAATTAGATGACACATATTATAAGGAATATAATTTCAAGTTTTAAAGTTATGGTTGTTGATTAAGGCTTAGTAAGAGGCTTTGATTGACTTGGAAAATATTCTTTGCCTTCTAGTCTTCTAAATTTGAAAGGCTTTTTTGCAAAGTCATAAAAGGTATTGTAATCTATGACTATGGTACTTTAAAAAGGAATGTTAAATCAAATATATGTATTACACATGATATTGTTCTTTCTGATCAGGTCCCGCTGGTGCTAAAGGAAATGCTGGACTCCCAGGGAGAGAAGGATTACCTGGTATCCCAGGGGAGAAGGGAGAGGCTGGTGTCCCAGGACGGCCGGGAGCCCAAGGGTTAGATGGACCCCAAGGACCCCCGGGTCTGCCGGGAGAGCGCGGTCGTGATGGAGCCCCAGGTGAGATGATCTGCTAAAGTATTGTTATAATGAATTGAGAATTATTCAGTATTCAGCTTGATGCAGCCTGAGAACCCTCACTTCAATTTTATTTAGCCTAATAAAAAAAAAATTCAGTATTTGTACAAAAAATGGTGAAAAAAGACAAGTACCTGGTTCTCCAATTCTGCCTTGATCACTTTTGATTCCAACAAAACCAGTGTCTCCCTTGGCACCTTAAAAACACAACAATCACCATATTCTGTATTTTATATTTGTACCAATGGAATTATAGTTGTTTGGAATATATATTGACGAAAATATCAGTATACAGTATACATATGTACATACATCGATATCCTCAGTGCGAAGCTAAGCACAGCATCATTTATATTATTTAAGGTTTTTGATGCAGGATGAAAATTTACTTTTCTACACCTGCTTAAAATTATCTCAGAAGATTTTGTTTAAAAGTAAAATAGATCGAAGGCTTACATACGTAAACTGCGGCTATGATTTGTAGCAGTGCTGACTCTACCTCTCGTAATATTATAAGGAACTTGAAATTGACATATACTCATCCAAGTTCAAGATTCTGTTTCGTGGAATTGCAGAAAGGTAATATCTTAATCCTTTAATTTCGTACATTATTTCTTTTTTTGATTTTTTAATATTTCAGCAGCAAGCTAGCACAATATTACTTTGCTTGTATTACGAAGGGGAGACGTGATTATGATATTCCTTGTTGTCACAGTGATGTGGATCCAGAAAAAAATGGGGGGGGGGAGTTTCCATTCTTTGAATTTGAGAAAAGGAGTACCAAATTTTTGTTGTGCTTTTTTAAAAAGAATATTTTGTTGAAAGGCTCATGTAGTAACATATGAAGAAACAAAATTGGATCTACGGGTTCAAAGATTTTAGATTTTAGATTTATTCTCCTTTCTTTGTCAAAAACTTTCAGGTACTAAGTCCATAATTTTTTCTCAGTCTGATGACTCTCCCACTTTAAAACGAAACTACATGTACATCCCTGGATCTGTTTATCTTTCTGTAAACGTACACTATAACAACTCTATT